CCCCTTCAGGGGCTGAAGGTGCAATGGTGTCACCCCGATCCTCTCCCAACATGAGAGCTCCATGATGCCCAAGAAGCATTAAATCATTCCCAAACCACTCCCAAGGCACAGCCATCAGTCCCCAAAGCACCTGGAAGCTCCTCCTTGGTGCAGGCCCTGAGTCAGCCCTGGGGGTGTCCAGGAGCTCCTTGGCTGGGGTTTTCTTCAGGATGGATCTGAGCAGGGAGCTGCTGTGGCCCAGGGCAGAGCTGGGAGTGCTCCCACCTTCCCCAGCCCAGCTCCTGCTGGGGGCTGGCACAGCACCCCCAGGGCCACTGGGCTCCCAGCCGGCCCCTGCAGAGCCAGCACCCAGCTGGGACACTGAAACAGAGAAGGAAAAGTGACAGAACTTTAGTGCTGAAAGCATCAGTATTAAAGCACCCACATCTGCACAGATCCTGAGCAGAAACACCCCACAAAAATCCACCAGTCTAAATTCTGGCTCTTTTTGTGCCACATGGACATCTGCTGTTTTCAGAAATTTATAACACATACTAAAAAGGTGTCACAAAAGGTGTTATAAAAGGTTCACTTAAGTGAATGAAAAGTTACATCAGGTTTCTACTGCATCCTAAATTTAGACAAGGTGATAAATGTCAGCTGAAACATTTCCTGACCAATATTTGTATTTCCTAATGAGAATTTAACAAAGATTAACAAAGATTTAACAGTGCTGAATCCCCTTACCATGGTCTCTTTCCAGGGTCTCCCCAGTTACAGCAGGGTCCAAGGATTGAACAGGATTTTGCTGCTCACAAACCCATTCCTAAAGAAAGAGTTGCAGGATTTTTACAACAGCACAAAGTATGGAGGGTTTCAATCCCACAGACAAGGATTTCAGAGCTTTCCCCATCAGCCACTATTTCAGCACCCAGGGAAATGCTTAGAAAATGCTTAATGAATTAAATGCTTAGCAAATGAAGAAATTGTCTATTTTAATGTCTAACTGAGAGGTTTCTCCCCAGTTGAAAGCACCTTGGCAGCAGTGGCAGTCACAGCTCGTTGTGGGGACAAGATGCTGCAGATCCTGAGCTCACTCCTGCTGCTCTGGGTCCCATTTTCTCTGAAATTCTCTTTTAAAGCAGCTCCTCTGTTGCCCAGCATGAACTTTCCACTCCACTGCTCCAGGTCTGGCTCTTTTTTAAAAGGTGCTTTGTCCTGAGCTGCATCAATTCAAAATAAATAAAATAAAACAGAAGCCAAACAAATCACAAAGATAACCTTCAGGTTTTTCAAAGAATCCTCTTTTTGTGTTTCCCCATCAAGAGGTGCAAAAAGGCAGGAAATGTTCTAGGCAGGGAGAAGAACACATTTTTTAGATCTACTTTGGAAATAACATTACCAACCTCCAAAACAAAATAAATGATTCCTGTGATATAAATGTTATTAAGGTCAGCAATAACAGAGAAGTAAAATGAAAGTAAAATGAAAAGTTTTACAGAAAAAAGTGCAAAAACATTCATGTTCAGTGAGAAATTCATCAAAGAGCACAAATTTAGGAACTAAAACTAATGGAAGAGACTCCAAACCATGAGTTTTCAGAGAAACCACCAATCAGGGTGCATTAAGATGATTTAAACAAACCAAACAAACCTCAAAGCAAGCACAGCCACCTGTGCCAAGCCTAATCAAGGAAGATGATTTTGTTTTACGAGAAGCATTTCCAGTTTCATGCTTTCAGCTGATATTTCAGGTAAATCAGTGCCCAGGATATTGAATGCACTCACAGGAAGTTCCCTGCTGGGAAGGCGCCCCCAGGTGTGGGAGCCCAGGCTCCCCCTCAGCCTCCTGCAGGGACTCAAAGGAGGCCTGGAAAATGCTGATCTTGTCCTTCAGCGACCTCACACTTGCAGGTTTGAAAGGACTGATCTGCAAAACAAAATGAATCCCATCAGGCATTTCCTCCCTCACCACTGCAGCTTTTGTGCTTTGTATTTGCACTTAGAGATAAAGTGCAAAGGATCTGGCATTTAATCTGGCTGCAATTATATCTGTACAGAAAAAAAACCGAAAAAAGGAACTTTACCCAGAAATCTGGTACATGTCTGGGTAAATCTCACTGAACATTTTATTGCATTTCATCTGTTCTTCTAGGCTAGAATTTGCTTTGTGACAGCCCAGGATAGTTCATGTTCTGAACCAACCTGATTGAGCAAGCTCTGAACAAACCTGACTGACCAAGCTCTGAACAGACCAAGTCACTCACGCTTGAAATTGGCTTCACTTGGAACCAGCAACACTTTAATTACCCAAAAAGCAAGAGCAGCAAACACAGGAATGTGACAAAAATTAAAATTTATCACGGAGAAGAAATTCCAGCCTCTACAATACAAACAGAACTTAGAACATCCCCTTGTCCTGCAGTCAGTGACCAAGGGACAGCAGCACATTGATGCCATGGCTGTCCCTTCTGCTGGATCCTGCCCAGGAATCCTGGCCCCTCTCCCAGCACAGGGAGTGGAAGTTCCCAGCAGGTTTTTGGGAGGGACTCACCTGGGTGAAAGCTTCTCTGTGCCTGCTGCTCCTCTGCTGGGCCAGGAACCTGATCAGGGTGTTGTTCTCTGGTGATCCCCTCAAGCCAATGGTTGATCTTCTCCTGAATTTTAGTGAAGTTGGGGAAGCCCCTGAAAAGGGCACACGAGGAGAGGTTCAAAAGAAAAACAAAGCACAAAGCCACAAAAATGTGTTGTAATACCTAAAGCTAGAAAATGGTATTTTTTCATCTTTTTTAAGGCTGATTAATGCCACTTTGATCCAAAATGACCTGCTGAGCCCAAGAAACCTCCCTGAGCATATCAATAATCACAAACCCAGCCTGCCTTTCAGCTTTTCCATTGTTTGTGAGTGTTCACCAAATTTGTTTTGCATTCCCTTGTGACACTCAGGACACTGCATTGACTGAGATGAACAGGGAGCATTTCAGAGCAGGATTTAACCTGTGCAGTTCAGTGGTGTCAAATCCTGTACGTGGGATGTCCCATGAAGATGCTGCAGCCCCTCAGAGTGCTCCAGGGCACACCCACACTGATCACCTGAACCTGCACGGGAGCCTTGGGGATGAGCTGGGACCAAAGGAGCTGCAGAAGCCCCTCTGAGGGGGACAGAGGTCTTTTGTCACCCCAGCCTCACCTGTGGCTCGTGTTGCAGGACTTTCCTGAGCAATCCCACACTCAGCACTGATCACAGCACCAATGGCCATGGGCTTCTTCCTCTGCTCAGAGAGCCCCAAAGCAGCTTCTCCTTCCACTCTGTCCCTCTCAGGAGTGCAGAAGCCACTTCCCAAGGGAACAGCTGGGCTGCTGGACACACCCTCCCTGGTGGGCAAGGGGGGCTCAGTGAGCAGCACATCCCCCCCAGAGCAGCCCCCAGGGAGCTGCCAGCCCACAGCAGCCCCCTGCAGGGGACACAGATTCTCCTCGGGGCCTTTGGGGCACTTCGGGGCACGTTTTGGTGACCGTGCCTGGCTCCCATCAGTGAAATTCTCCTTCCTGGATGCTCTGATGGCCTTGGATTTGGTCACTCTGCAGCTCTTCTGGGCTCTTGGCAGAGGGCAAGAGGCCTCTTCCTGCTGTTCATTTTCTTTAACTTTCAGGGGAGTTTTAGATCCTCTCAACATTGTTTGGGACTTATTTGAAGAAACATCCACTCAGCTTTTGCTGCTGTAATTACAGACTCCTATTAACAAGAAAAAAAAAAACCTTATTACTTAGAGCAAGAGCTCATTACCACACTCATGCTTCTCCCAAATCCACATTTTCCAGAACAAGGTGTTTAATAGTGGGGTGGGAAGGGGAATTTAACCCCAAAAACCTGCAGGCAAAGGACACAAGGGGCAAGGACCAGAAAGAAAAACACAGAGCAACAAAAATCTGCATTATAAACATGCACAGGAGTGCTCAGGGTAAGGAGCCACAAGGCTGTGATGTCACTCTGTCAATTCACATTTATATAAAATACGTGCAGAAAATACAATAATCACAAGCACACTGTGGCTGTTTTGCTCCAAGTGTTAAAATCAGTATCACCAGTTTAATGCTACTTTTAATCACACTAATTAGTAGCAGCAGAAAGAGAATACAAAAGAAATTGGAAAGATGCAAATACATTGGAAAGAAATCAGCAGAAGAAACACTAGTTATATATATATATATATATATATATATTAACTACCACTAGAGCTTGTAATTAGAAATTTTAAAAGGTTAGGTATTTTTGCTGTTAATTTCTAAAGTTAATGACGTACAACTCAATAACGCGACTCTACAACTCCCCTTCTGAACACACGCTCACTATTAGAAACAAACATATCTAAACGAATCTGCTTTACAACGCCTGGGCAATCTTTTTCTTTCTTATTTTTTCCTTTCCTGCTCTGAGGCCCAGCGGAGGCCGATGGCTTCAGCCAGAGCCACCGGCCGAGAGGGGAGAAACTCCAACGCGGGGCTGCCGGGTGGGTACCGGCCACTGGGCACCGGCACCCCGCGATCCCGGAGCACACTCTGAGCACAGCCCGGTACCGCCCGGTACCTCCCGGGCACCCCGAGCGCCGCCCGCCGCCGTCCCCGCCAAGCCGCCCTCACCTGGGCCCGCGCCCGGCCCGCCTCACGCTTTCAAACCGCGCCACGCCCCTGCGGATCCCTCCGCGCCCCCGCCCCTTCCCCACCCTCAGCGCCCGCCGCAGCCGCGCCGGTCCCGGCAGCACCGCAGGGAGGGAGGGACATGGGGGCGACCCCTCACCGCTGCTGTGCCCCGGGGGTCCGCGCGGGGCTGGGCGGCGACCGGGGGACTCTTTGACTCGGCGGAGAGATCGCGTCCGTTGGACCACAGAACCGCTTTGGTACGGGAGAAAAAATAAAATGAGCAAATGAATTAATTCAACGGCCCGCGCGCACGTGACGGGCGACAACCAATCGCAGAGGGGTTATGCAAATATGGACGCTTCCTCTGCTCGCGATTCGCTGCCCTCCCGGCTTTGGCCCGCCTCCTCACTGCCCATTGGGCAGAGACGCGGCACAGCGCGGCGCTGATTGGCCGTGGGGCCTGCCCGTCAGCGCCCGCCCCTTCCGGGTGTCGGCGCGGCGGCGGGCGCAGCATGAGGCGGGTGACGCTGTTCGTCAACGGCAGCGCCCGCAACGGGAAGGTGAGGCTGGGCCGGGCCGGGCCGGGGCCGCTGCCGCGGGCCCCTGCCCGCCCTCCCGCAGCTTCCGGGGCACCGGGCCGGGCCGGCGGGAGCGGGGCGCGGGGTCCCCCTCAGTGCCGGTGCAGGGAATCGCGACAGGCGCGGTCTGTCACGCTCGGTGCCCTGAGGGAGCCGCGTCCGGCCGCTCGTGCCGGGCACCGCTGCGGGATGAGGGCTCTGCGGGGACACGGACCCTGCGTGCGGGTACCCGGGCAATAATCGCATTGAATTGTTTAAACCTCGCTAAAATCGCCTCAGGACTGAAAATAGCGATTCAGAGGCCCAGCAGTGCTTGTCCAGCAGTGGAAAAGGCTCTGGGGTGCAGTTCCACAGAGATACCGTGATCCTGATGTGTCCATCACATTCTGAGTGTAGATGTTGATGTGACTGTGCTTTAATGTGTATTAATTATTAATTCCATTAATTCTGCCCATGATCCCGCTATTTCCAGCCGGGCGGGAGTGCCGGGGTTCCTGTGGATGCATTTCAGCCTTGCAGTTCTGCTGAATTGTGTCTGTGATCCTGATTTTCCATCCACATCCGGAGGGCAGACAGCTCATGAGCCTCTCCTCTAATCCTTGGTTTTAGGGAGGGAAGTACATTTGAAACAGAGCAAGTAGCAATATTTCTTTAGAGAAATAAATTACCGAATTATATTCCTACAGCCCCAGCCTTTATTCCCTCCCTGCTGTTGCAGTGAGTTTGGTGGCAGCTGTGCAAGTCACCCTGGTTTTCCTTTCCCTTCTTTCCTGGTCGAGATCCAAATGGATTTTGCTCCTCCTGATAGCCCTGCTCAATGTGAAGGGACAGAACTTTTGGAGCACAGTTCCTGGCTTTGTTTTTCTTCACAGCCTGCTCTTCTCTCCTCCCCAGGTCGTGGCTGTGTATGGGACTCTCTCAGATCTGCTCTCTGTGGCCAGCAACAAGCTTGGGATCAAAGCCACCAGCGTTTACAACGGGAAGGGGGGGCTCATTGATGATATTGCTTTGATTAGGTGAGGATCAGCCAGGAGAAGGCAAATCAGGCCTCTGGATTCAGGGACTAACCTGTTAATCCCCCTTAATCCATACCCAGTGCTTTCCCTAAAACCAGATGTGATCATTTCCAGCCAGGGTGCCCAAATGTCCTTTCATGTCTTTTTAACTTCAAACCATTTATTGACTCAGCACTTGATACAAGCTGTGTCTGAGGCCTTCTCACCTCCTCCTGTGTTGGTTCAGGGCAGTGTTTGTGCCATGAAATCCCCCCTGTTTCAGTCAGCCCTGCAATGGGGGTTTTCTGTAAAGGAGACAAATTCTGGCAGTACTTTGGCTTCACAGAATAGCCCCAGACTGGGGAGAGCAGCAGCTATTGTGTAAGAATGAATTGATTACACAAGTGGTCCCTACCTGGCTGCTGCAGATAAAATCTGGTGAAGTCAGTCCATTCCAATCCATTAGAACCTGCAAAATATTGAGTAAAATCAGAAGTTCCAGCTGATGGCCACTGGTCATAATTTACCTGAAAGAGTCAGGAGAGGTTCCACAGTCAATTAGATGAAGAATAAATTCTGATTAACCTTCTTTTTCTCTTCCCTCTGCCCCTCCTGTCTCAGGGATGATGATGTTTTGTTTGTCTGTGAAGGGGAGCCCTTCATTGGTGAGTCTCTAAATCTTATCTTGAACCTTTTATTTATTAGAGTTTCTTTTGCTTTCATATAAACTTAAGATTTTATTTTGTGGTGTTTTCAGAAGATACCGCTTTGTAATTAAAGAATATTAACAATTTTCCCTGTAATTGCTTGCTTTATTCTCTGCAGACCCTCAGACTGATGGGAGAGCTCAGGAGGAGCTGACAGGGTCCCACACAGACTGGCTGACTCTCAATGTGGGAGGCAGATACTTCACCACCACCCGGTAAAAATGGTCTTCAAAAACTTCCAAAACTTCCTTTCAATAAAGCAAAACACCTTAAAAATGTATTTTAAAATGTACCTTAAAAATACCTTTAAAAAAATACCTAAAAAAGTAACTTAGTTTGAAGCAGGAGGTCTTTGACTCCTGCAGCTTTCTCTGTATTTCGTATTTGCCACCACAGTTTTGCAAGAAATTAATTCTCAAACATTTACAGATGAAAGAAAAGTAAATTTGGGCTGCTTTTGTTTCCTAGGAGCACTTTGGTTAACAAAGAGCCTGACAGTATGTTGGCACACATGTTCAAAGACAAAGGTGAGTATGTTGAGATGAACTTGATTATTTTTAAGTAATAAATGAGCAAAGTAGGCAAAAGTCACTGCCAAGATGAGGCTCTTGTTCATACAGTAAAATATCCAGAGTGTGTTAAAGTACCAGAGCAGAACAGGGAATAATTTTTTAAAGCTTTATTTCTCTCTATCATCTCACCACCTGCTGTTGATCATCTGTCTCACAGGCTGCAAACACAGCTCCCATCCATTGTGGGTACTTTGGGTCCTTTGTTTGTGTATTTGATTTGAGGTTTTCATCTTGTTGCATCTTCTGAGTTTTGTCAGCAGAGCCAAAGAGCAAAGTGCACGAGGGAGCCTTGGGGAGACAGAATAAAATTTCAGTGCTGCTTTTATCCTAGCCAGGATTCTTTTGTATGAGGTGCAAATTCAGTTATTCAGAGCAGGAACAAGTTCATTTTAAGCTGATTTTTCCCCCCACTCCTCTTTGCCTTCCTTCTCTCTCCGAACCACCCTTCCAAGTGGAATGTTTGCTATTCCAGTGCCTTTGGTAGTAAAAAACTCTGAAAACTGAAGCAAATGCTCTTCTATTACTACATCAAAAGTAATTTTATATATATATATGTTGTGGAAACAGATGCTTGGGGGAATAAGCAAGATCCTAGAGGAGCTTTCCTCATTGACCGCAGTCCCGAGTATTTTGAGCCCATTTTGAACTATTTGCGGCACGGACAGCTCATTGTAAATGATGGCATTAATTTGCTAGGTAGGTATTACCTGTCTGACATCTCCTGAATTCATTATTCCTCCTTGGAATTAAAGCTTTGTGTGTAAATGATGGCATTCATTTGCTGGGTAGGTATTACCTGTTTGACATCTGAATTAATTTTTCCTCCTTGGAATTAAAGCTCTGCCCGTGGTGAGGCCAGGGGGGCTTTGTGTGCTCTTCTCCATGGTTGGGAGTTTTCCTTTGGTGGATTTATTCTCAGAGTGCAGCTCCATGTGCTTGCTTTAATGAGGATAGGCTGGTTATTTCTCTTTGGAGCATTAAAAATCCATACTGGATTAATATCTGGAATGCTGGAGTTGATCTCTTTAACCTAATGCTGCTGTTTGAAATGTTGTGTCTGAGTTGTGTTTTTCCTTTTAGCTGCGAGCAAACTGTTTCTCTCTCCCCAGTTACCTCCAGTAGAATGTGTGTGTGTTCTCCAGTAAGGGGAGAGAAGGGTGCTGCTCTCTGGCCCAGCAATTCCCTGCATTAACCAGCCCTGCTTTGTTCCTAGGGGTTCTGGAAGAAGCCAGGTTTTTTGGGATCGACTCCCTCATTGAACACCTGGAAGTTGCTATTAAGGTACCTTGCTGTGGGTGAGCCATGGTGGTGGTGCTCTGGCAGGGAATGTGAAACTCGGAGCTGTGAGCTGTAACTGAGAGCTGAGAGCTGTAACTGAGAGCTGTTACTCAGAGCTGTCAGCTGTAACTGAGAGCTGTAACTCAGCTGTGAGCTGTAACTCGGAGCTGTAACTCAGAGCTGTAACTGAGAGCTGAGAGCTGTAACTGAGAGCTGTTACTCAGAGCTGTCAGCTGTAACTCAGAGCTGTCAGCTGTAACTCAGAGTTGTTAGCTGTAACTCGGAGCTGTAACTGAGAGCTGTCAGCTGTAACTGAGAGCTGTAACTCGGTGCTGTAACTCAGCTGTTAGCTGTAACTCAGAGGTGGTAGTTGTTACTCAGTGCTGTTAGAGGTAACTCAGAGTTGAGCTGTAACTCGGAGCTGTAACTCAGAGCTGTTCCTGTCCCCGGTGCCCAGAACTCGCAGCCAGCCGAGGATCACTCTCCCATCTCTCGGAAGGAGTTTGTCCGGTTCCTGCTGGCCACGCCCACCAAGTCCGAGCTGCGCTGCCAGGTGAGGGAGCTCAGCCTCTGTCTGTCAGCAAAACTGCACGAATTGTTTCCTGACACCCGACCCACCCCTGCCCTCTCACAGTTTGAAACCACAGCCTGTTTCAAGGAAAGATCCACCCCTGCCCTCTTACAGTTTAAAACCACAACCTGTTTTAAGGAAATACTAAACCTTGGGAGCTTTGCATTTCCATGTCATGTTGTTATGTAATAGATGAAATGATCTTGTGGGTGTTTATATAGGGCCATGGAATGGTTGGGGTGGAAGGGACCTTAAGGATAATCTTGTTCCAGTCTGCCATGGGCAGGGACACCTCCCACTGTCCCAGGTGCTCCAGCCTGGCCTTGGATGCTTCCAGGGATGGGGCAGCCTCAGCTGCTCTGGGAATTCCATCCCAGCCCCTTCCCACCCTCAGGGGTGGGAAAGCTGATCTCCAAATCCCTTGCCCCTTGTCCTGGCATTCTCTGTCCATATAAAAGTCTCTCCCATCTTTTTCTCAGCCCCTTTAAGGTACTGGTTGTGTGTCAATACATTGTTTATCTGTATAGATTTATACACACAACTGCCCAGACGTGTTTCTTGTAATTCTTTTGTGTCCAGAGCTCCCCCTTCCCCTCTGTGACCACTTTGGGGGTGTCCACTGCTCTTGCAGGGGCTGAATTTCAGTGGGGCCGACCTTTCCCGCCTGGATCTTCGCTACATCAACTTCAAGATGGCCAACCTGAGCCGCTGCAACCTGGCCCATGCCAACCTGTGCTGTGCCAACCTGGAGAGAGCTGACCTGTCTGGCTCCGTGCTGGATGTAAGGCTGCTGCACCCTGGGCAGCCTGGGCTGCCTGCACTTGTCTCCTGAAACAGGAATTGGAACAAAAAAATCAGTTTCCCAATGTTTTCTGCGATTGTTGCACTCAGAGCACTCCCACACTTCCTCACAGTAACGGGGGGGTTGTGCTTTGGGGGTTCAGTGCAGAATTGAAATCTGTGTTCTGCTGATTTCTGTGTTTATCAACACCCTTGTGACTCACATCCTGTGTCTGCAGTGTGCCAACCTGCAGGGGGTGAAGATGTTGTGTTCCAACGCAGAGGGAGCATCCCTGAAGGGCTGCAACTTCGAAGATCCATCAGGCCTTAAAGCTAATTTGGAAGGTAAGTGTTGGTTTGTTAATTATTCCCTGGAATCAGCCCTGTGCCTGCACATTTATGTGTTTGGACAGTCCCTGGGAAGAGCCCACAGCTCTGGGCTGGTTCTGCCAAACAATCCTTGAATTCCCAGTTGTGCCTTGGCCTCTCCCAGTTTGCCCAGTGTCAGATCCCAGCACATCCTCTGGCTGCCCTGGGGGCTCAGAGACCCTGGCACAGAGCCCCAGACCCTGTGCCTTTGATTTTAACCCATGGAGAAAATGACCAGCCTTGTGTGAGGATTCACAAGCCATGAGAGTTTAACTAGAATGAGAATTAGTTTGTTACAAGATAGAAAAGCAGAATTTTGGGGTTTTAGATTGGAGGTTCAGAAGCCAAGATGGAGGGATTTGGGCATGCCCTGTCCTTCTTCTTTCTTCTTCTTGGCCTCCATCTTCTGGGTGATGGTGGCACTTTTGGATTGGTTTAGAGTAGAGACAGACTGTCTAACATAGGTGATGGGTGTTGGAAAATTACTGTAAATAAAGTACAGGTAGTTCTTGGTATAGAAAGATAACACCACCCTGAGGTGGTCAGTGTGCCACGGACCCACTTGCTAGACAGACTCAGCAGGTCAGAAAAGAATTTTCTAGCTAACAGAAAATAAAACCACAACAAACCAAAACAAACCTTGGAAACCACAGCTGAGGAATCCTGACTCCTCCTCCTGTCTCGGGCTGGCAAAAAGAGACTTTGTGACACCTGGGGGTGACCCCAGCCCCCAGCTCTGGGGGAGCCTCTCCTGGAGCTGCTGCACTCCTGGCTGGTTCCCTCAGGCCTCTGTGGGTGTTGCAGGTGCCAACCTGAAGGGAGTGGACATGGAGGGCAGCCAGATGACCGGCATCAACCTGAGAGTGGCCACGCTGAAAAACGCCAAACTCAAGAACTGCAACCTGCGAGGGGCCACGCTGGCAGGGACTGACCTGGAGGTGGGCACAAACACCAACTGTTTCCTAGGCATTGATATTGTGGGGGCATGGGATGGGAGAAAATAGAGTGCAGAAGGTAATCTCAGCCTTGGGGAGTTGCAGCTGCACTGATTATCAAAGATTAGGAGCAGGCCACAGCTGTGTCTGATACGGATGAGATATGAAAGAGTGGGTTGGGTGGGTGAGAGGAGCTGCTGGAGTTTGTGAGCTGTGCTGTGAAGGAGTCAGTTCTGTGAGGAGCTGCCCATGAGAAATCACCAAGAAGGTGTTGAACATTTGCAATAAAATGACAACAATATGTAAATATAATATGTACCCATATTATGTATGTGTACAAAAAGATGGGAATTCAGGGGGTTGCTGGCTTTTCTCCAGCTGCAAAGTTAAATGGAGTTATGGGAAGTGGAGTCAAACTTTGAGCAGAGTTCTGTCTCTATTCAGTTAACATTGTTTTTCCTTCCCCCTTCAGAATTGTGATCTGTCAGGTTGTGACCTGCAGGAAGCAAATCTGAGGGGATCCAACGTGAAAGGAGCCATCTTTGAGGAGATGCTGACACCCCTACACATGTCCCAGAGCGTCAGATAGGGGCAGAGGATGCTGGAGAGGAAGGAATCAGACATTCATCGTGACTTGCTTCACCTCCTCCCCTTCCTGAGTTACAGTCATGGTTATTAGCCACCTTACATTTGCAGTAGTGCCTAGGTAAACTCTTTTTGATCACTTTTGGGGAGGGAATTTTTGTTTTCAGAGGTTTGTACCTCTGTGAGCAGAGTGAGGAAGTGGGCTGGTGCTGGAATCAGAGAGTGGCTGGTTTGGGGGGGAAAGGTTCAGTGGTTTCATTGTTTAGCATTGCCTCACTTTGGAATGCATTTTAATTTATAAAGCACAATATATGCAATTCTATTTATTAAATCTGTAGCTGCAATATGAATAGAAGATGTTACTCCTGTACAGTAGCAACCAAGTTGAGGTTTACAGGTGTATTTCCAGTCTGGATCCGTGCCAGGGGGGCTCAGTGTCCCCAGGGGGTGCTCAGGGCTCTGCTGGGGTGGAAGCTGATGGGAACATCCCTGCTCACAAATTGGATATCTTGAATTAATCCTCTCCAAATGAGCGTGGAGGTGCACTGTCAGTCACAGCTGGTGACACAAATCCTGCTTTCACGTGTCCTGATCACTCCAGGCTGCAGCTGCTGCAGTTTTCACCCTTTGTGGTGAATTCAGTGCAGAGAGGAAAGTCCAGAGCTGGCACCAAAGCAGAGAGAGGCAGAGGGGCCCTCCCCTCACCCCCCCAGCAGGTGAACATTTCCCTGTTTCCCTCCATGCTCTATGCAAAGCCTCCCTGACAGCTCCCTGGGCGTTTCCCAGCTGGGTCTCCTCCTGTGTTTGGGCTGCTCCAGGTGCTGCCAAATCCTCGTGCCTGGGGCCAGGAGCCCTCCCTGCCCTCCCACGGCTGCTGGGCTGGCACAGAGCAGCTCTGGGCAGGCAGGGCCTCAGCACTGCTGTGGATGAGGAGCTGCTCCCTGCAGGGCCCACGGAGTTCTCAGCTCACACCACCTTTATTTTACACACAATCAAAAAGCACATGAAGAAACTATACCAAAAAAAAAAGAAAAAAGGTGCATCAAGAACTTACCTCAGATGCTTAAACCACCCCAAAGTTAAAACTAACCTTGAATTTAAGGAAATCAAGCTGTTACTGTAGAAATACAAAGGAGGAATAAGAACCAGTGGAGTTCCACAGGTCTCCGGGGGTTGTCTCTCCCTTGCAGTGCAATTTCTGTCGTCTTGTCTCAGTTGTTGTTACACAAATGCTGCTTTGCCCCCAGGCTGGGAGGATCAGAGGTGGTTGAGGGTCAGCAGAGGATGTGTTGGGGGGAATTGCAGGATTTTCCCTCCTTTTCTAGTTGGTTTGACTCAGGTGAGTGATGTGAACTTTCAAGGCTCAAAATCCCAGAGCCACGAGGTTCAGAACTGGGATCATTTCCTGCAGATCCCTCTGGATCAAGCTCTAGGACAACACAATATCCTTGGAGAAATGACCTGTAAATTCCAGGGAAATATTCCAGTGTGACTTTGGAGTCCTTTCTCACACCTCATGGCTTTCAGTGGGAATGTTGTGTCTATTGCAGTAGGAGAAGATTCCTAGGGCTAGAGAAACAAATGAATTATTTTTCTTTATCATATTTTGTAGCTGGCAGAAGTAAAACTATTGTATGGAAAAAATATATATATATATATATCTATTTTCATAATCACTGTGTATAAAATCTCTTTGAACTTTCACTGAAGCACTATGGAATAATCACAGCATGTGGCACCATCATTCACAGCTGGATTTTTGGTACCTCTTTTGCCAGGACAGAGCTGTGGCAAGAGCCCTGTGCAGAATTTGCAGGTTCCAGCTAATTTAAGTTGCATTAATAAAAAGTGTGAAAGAAGAAAATGGCTTGGTTGTCTTCATTTTAATAAAACCCCCAAATCTTACCTGGTTTGTGTGAGAAGAACAAGAATTTTTTAGTTTTAAGTATAAAATACCTGTTGGAAAAACAGCTGTGCTTGTGGGAGTTCTGAGCCATTAACTGGGGAATTGCATGGGGTTGGTTTTGGTTTGTCATTCCTCCCCAAGACTTCTCAGCCTTTTTGTCCCCACCCTTCATATTGGCTTAATAAAACAGTTGGAGGCAGAATAGTCAGAGAATTGTGGAATATCCTGAGCTGGAAGGGCCCCAAGGATCATAAAATCCAATTCCTGTGGAAGCACCAGAAACCTGGGGAGAAAAAGTTGTTGGGAGCTGTTGAGGGCAGTGCTCAGAGCCAGGGTGAGCGGTGCTCAGTGAGCTGCAGTTACTGGGCAGAGCTCGGTAAATGTCCAAACCAGCCCTGCTTTACCTTTAAATAACCCCCATGTTTGCAGGGCTCAGCAGGAAGGGGGCTCCAAACACAGGAGAACCCCTGGGTGGCTCCACGTGCCTGCAGGAGGAGCGGGCACATTCCTGTTGTGGATCCACCATTGCTGCTCTGGATCCACCATTGCTGCTCTGAACCCAACTGTTCTGCTCTGGATCCACCATTGCTGTTCTGGATCCACCATTGCTGCTCTGAATCCACCATTGCTGCTCTGAGCCCCACATTCCTATTCTGGATCCACCATTCCTGCTCTGAACCCAACTGTGCTGCTCTGAGCCCACCATTGCTGCTCTGAACCCCACAGTTTGCTCTGAGCCCCACATTCCTGCTCTGGATCCACCATTGCTGCTCTGAGCCCATCACTGCTGCTCTGAGCCCACCATTGCTGCTCTGAACCCCACAGTTTGCTCTGAGCCCCACAGTTTGCTCTGAGCCCCACATTCCTGCTCTGGATCCACCATTCCTGCTCTGAACCCAACTGTGCTGCTCTGAGCCCCACGTTCCTGCTCTGAACCCACCATTCCTGCTCTGAATCCACCATTGCTGTTCTAAACCCCACATTGCTGCTCTGAACCCCACATTCCTGTTCTGGATCCACCATTCCTGCTCTGAACCCAACTGTGCTGCTCTGAACCCACCATTCCTGGTTTGAACCCCACATTCCAGTTCTGAGCCCACCATTCCTGCCCTAAAACCCACATTCCTGCTCTGGATCCACCATTGCTGCTCTGAACCCACCATTCCTTCTCTGAACCCCACAGTTCTGCTCTGAGCCCACCATTCCTGCTCTAAACTCACCATTGCTGCTCTGGATCCACTATTGCTGCTCTGGATCCACTCTTGCTGCTATGAACTCCACCTGGATCCACCATTCCTGCTCTGGATCCACTATTGCTGCTCTGAACCCCACAGTTTGCTCTGAACCCCACATTCCTGCTCTGAACCCCACATTGCTGCTCTGGATCCACCATTGCTGCTCTAAACCCACCATTCCTGCCCTGAACCCCACAGTTTGCTCTGAGCCCACCATTCCTGCTCTGAACCCCACATTCCTTCCCTGAACCCCACAGTTTGCTCTGAACCCCACATTCCTGCCCTGACCCCAGCTGCTGTCACAGCTTGAGCAGCTGAGCTGGAGCTGCCCCTGCCAGGAGTGGGAGGAGCCCTGGGGCAGGAAGGGTGACTCTGCTGGGTCACCAAATCCTCCCTGAATTTTTGACTCACTGAATTACTTAAATCCATTAAAGCTCCAAGAGGCCATGGGATGTTTGGAGAACAGGGAACACGAGACATTCAGTGCACAGCAAGGCAGGGGAGCAGCCAGGTGGGGGAAAATACAATTTCTGCAGTCCAAAGTACTGAATTGAGCTCCTGCATGCCAACAAGTCTATAAACCTGCAGTGCACAAACCCTGAGAGACTGAACAATAGGGAATCATGGAATGGTTTGGGTTGGAAGAGGCCTTAAGGATCATTTCCATCAACTCCATCCCCAAAACCTCCCACTGTCCCAGGCTGCTCCAAGCCCTGTCCAGCCTGGCCTTGGACATTTCCAGGGATCCAGGGGCAGCCCCAGCTGCTCTGGGAACTCCGTCCCAGCCCCTCCCCACCCTCACAGGGGAGGAATTTGTCCTGATAGAAACCCCAATTCTATATTTCTTTCTGACTCTGTTGTCAGTTTAAACCCATTCCCCCTTGTCCCTGTCACTTCCAGAAAGGATTTGGGGATCCTGTTCACACCAGATTCCATTGTGCCTGCAAAGTTCATTTACAATCATGGACTCACCCAGGCTAATCCCACCTGGCATTTCACAGAGCAAGGAACACCAAGGCACCTGAAGTTAAATGTTGAGGAGGATTTCAAGCTGCTCTGGGCACTGGTGCTCCTGTTTGAGCTCTCAAGGGTTGTTTCCTTCATGCCTGACACAAATGGAATGGGCAGGAGGTGCTGCCTGGATTCCCCATCCCTGGGAGTGCCCAAGCCAGGCTGGATGGGCCTTGGAGCACCCTGGGGTAGGGGAAGGTTCTCTGTCCAAGGCAGGGTGGAAATGGATTAATTTAAGGTCTTTTCCAGCCCAAAACATTCCAGGATTCTTGAAGACTGAGCTCAATTCCTCACCCATTTCCCACCCTCAACAGATTCAGACTGACCCAAGAACTTTTACTGAAGGAACCAGAACTCAGTGACAGAAAAGCTCCTGTATTTCCCTGCTGGATCATCTGGATCCCAATGTGGGATTTACAACCTCTTAAAAGCAAAGCTGTTACTTTTATGACTTTTAGAGAAAAGAGCTGGATTTAATTGCTGCACCAGGGTGTCCCAATTATGGGCTTTGCTTGTGCTGCATGACAGCCACTGTAACAGGAGCACCAAAATTGAGCCTGGGAGGGAGAAATGGAAAAGTCTCCTGCTGGGGACGGGGTGGCACTGGGGTTCTTGGCTATAAAAAGTGAGGTGGGAGCACATTTACAGACATTTTCCAGAGGAGAAGAGCTGGAGTTGCTCCACAACCTCTCAGGCAGCAGGTAATGTGCTGGAACAGCATCCCACATTCCCTTTTTATTTATCCAGTGCTTCCAGATGCTCCTATAAAAAAAAAAAATAGAAGAGAATGCAAAGGGCAGGTTTTAAGAGCAGGGACATCAGAGCAGAAACCAGCTGAGCACATCTGCCAAGCACCACCAGGGAATGCAACCTTTGAGGTCCACACATGCCTGCAGCTCAGAAATCCTAATTTAGATCTGCAGCCAAATTTTTCAGATGTCCAATCTCTTTCAAGTGAGCTAATCCAGACTCTGAGAGGCTGCAAATCCAGCTGGGGCTCCTGGCCAGGAGGGGCAGGGTGGGATTTTTGGGGTGTCTGTGCAGGGCCAGGAGCTGGAATTCCACGGTCCTTGGGAGCCCCTTCCAGCTCAGCACATTCCATGCCAGAAATGCCTCATTTCCCCTCTCTGCAAGGTAAAACAGGAGCTGCAGGGCCTTTGTGAGCAGGTTTTTGGTGCTTTTGGTGCTTTTGGTGTGTTTTTGGTGTGTTTTTGGTGTGTTTTTGTCTCCCCAGGATGGAGAAGCCCCAGAGGATGGTGGCCGCTGCCCTGCTGTGTGTGCTGGCCGTGGGGCTGGGCCTGGCCCAGCACTGGTCCTATGGGCTCCAGCCAGGGGGCAAGAGGAGCACCCAGGTCCTGCTGGGGCCATTCCAGGAGGTGGGTCCTGGGCTGGGAAACAGCCCTGGCCTGCAAAGAGCGCAGCCAAAAAGGAGGCAAAGGCTCCTCTCTGCAGCTGTCCCTGTGTCTGTCCCCAAACACCCCCAGGTCTGGGGGTGAACACATTGGCTGGAGGAGGATTTGGGAAAACGGGTGAGGTGACATTTGTCAGCCTGGCACAGAGAACAGCACATTGCAGAAATAAAACTGTTGTGTGGAGAAAAATGCACATGTTTTCATAATCACTGTGAGTAAAATCTCTTTGAACTTTCACTGAATAAATTGGGCAGCCAGCTCCAAGGGACAGATAGAGCTCTGAGGTCCAGGTTAAATCCGATTTCATCCTCTCCCTATATTCCAGCCTTCTGATGGGTTATTCGATGACAATTCCTCCACTTCCCTTAACATTTTGGCAATTGGCAGGTGGTGGATGCTCAGCAATTAAATGGCAAAGCACATGTGGAAGGTTGTGGTGGTTTCCCAGCAGTGGTTTCCCCCTCTTTTCCAATCAATATTTCATGTCTTCCTCCTCATTTCAGCATCCTGGGGCTCGTGAGGAGAAGGTGAATGCCAGGTGTGCAGTGCAACCTCCACCACACAATTGCAGTGCTGGAGTTTCATCTCCATCTGTACCTGGGGTTGCTTTTGGCAGAAAAATCTCCTTTCTCCCTTCCTGAAGGTTCCTCGTGTCACTTTTCCAATCCAGATTCCAAATGAAATGGAAAACTTAGAGGAGGTTCAGCAGAGTGAGTGCCCAGGCTCGTACCAGAATTCCAGGATCAGGGATCTGAAGGAAGCCATGGTGAGTAAATGTGGTTTTTCTGTCACCACTATGGGAAAATCTGCAGGAGATCCATGAGGGGAGGGGAAAAAGGGTGTGGAGGAGCACGAGGGAGTGAAGTTTAGCTCAGATGAGGAAATATCGGCTCTGATCTTATTGTGGAATCCCAGGATGGTTTGGGTGGGAAGGGACCTAAAATCCACCTTGTCCCATGGGCAGGGCCATCTCCCACTGGAGCAAAATTACCTGCACCGGTCCCTCCCTGTCACCTGCACTGGTCCCTCCCTGTCACCTGCACCGCTCCCAGGTCCCTCCCCGGGCACTCCCAGCACAGGATCCCTCATTCCAGAGCCCCCCTGGCTGTGACATTTCCTGCCTCAGTTTACCCAGACTGAGCCCAGCCCTGCCCGGAGCCACAGCCCCCTCCGGCTCTGCCCCACATCTGTCCCTGCCCCACATCTGTCCCTGTTCCTGCCCCACATCTGTCCCTGTCCCAGGTCTGTCCCTGTTCCTGTCCCAGCTGTTGACCCCATGCCAGAGCTGTCCCTGCCCCACAGCTCTTCCTGCTGCTGTCCCAGAGCTGTCCCTGCTGCTGTCCCTACCCCTGTCCCTGTCCCTGTCCCTGTCCCTGTCCCAGGTCCCTGTCCCTGGTCTGTCCCTGATCTGTCCCTGTCCCAGGTCTGTCTCTGTCCCTGTCCCTGTCCCTGGTCTGTCCCTGTCCCTGGTCTGTCCCTGTCCCCATCCCTGTCCCGTCCCAGCTGCTGCAGGGCACAGCCAGATGGCAGCCGCTGCTCCCAGGCTCCCCGGGCTGGAAATGCATTTCCATCGAGCTGCTCCAGCACAGAGCTCCCAGCTGGGCTCCCCCACACTCTGGGAGCTCTCTCGGGCAAAGCTGTGCCTTTCCATTAACCCAGCAGCGCCGTGATGGGGCCAGATGGGCTCCATTTCCTGGCACTGCCCCTGGGCCCCCCCAGAGCTCAAAGCTGAGGCCAAACCCCAAAGCTCTCAGGGCTCCCTGAGGAGCCAGGCCTGGAAAAGGCTCAGGGAATCAGGAGCAGCCATGCAGAGCCCGAATTCCACTGGATTTTCATGCAGACACTACCTAAATAAATATGATTTTAGCTCATCTTTAGTCCTATTTGTACTGAACATGTTTTGGAATCAGGGCCCATGATTCCCAGCAGCACTGAACAGTGAAGAGCCAGCAGCAGTAATTTGCTATGGTTTAGTATTTTATTTTTACTGATGTTAGGCAGGAAAACACAGCAGGATAATCCCCAGGATATCTGGAATTATCCTCCCTGGCTCACTGAGGGAACTTGGCCTGTCTTGGCAGAGCTGAAAGGACCAAACCCCACCAGGTCCTGAGGTTTGCTCAGGAACTTCTCATTTCTTGCTGCTCAATAACACTGAAAACAAATGAGCTTTTCCCACACCCAGATTTTCCAACCCAACACATTCCTGTGTTGCTACAGGAATATTAAACAGGGGAAAAAAGGGGAGTGGCTGGAAATGTTCCACCCCATGGAAAAAGTCCAGTTATCATCATTTCCTGGGGAAGGTGGGAGGGAGGCAGCACAAATCTCCCTCCCTGAGGCGCCCCAGGGAACAAAGCCCCGGACATTCACCCAGCTCATCCCCATCCAAAGCACCCCAGGGCTTCACCTCCGTGCTGTTTTAGCACCTGAAAATTCCATCTTCAAAGTCACTTCTGCCCTTTAAACCCAGGATTTGGTGTGCTTACAGGAGAGGCTGGTGGAGGGAGAAGGCAGAAGAAAGAAGGTTTAAAAATACCCAAAGTGAAATGGGGCCAGAGTGAGGTTTCAAAACTGTGTTAAAATAAATTCCTCCTCAAATGGTCTTTGCTTGGATCAATATGTGAATAAATATTCTGACATGGCATTAAAACAGTGGAAAGTTGTTGTGTGGATTATTTGATTTGTGTAGAAGAGAACACATCCAGCCCAGAGTGGAGCAGCAGGGAAGGGTCTGCTCTGGGCCCTGCAGGGACAATTTGGATGTGACAATTTTTGTTTCACGTGTCCATGGCCTCATCGCTCCCCTCTGGGTGAAACAGGAGGAAACTCTGCTAAAAGAAAAAATTCTGCTAAAAGAATAAATTCCCTTTGGGAATCACCTCCCCTGTCTGCCAGTGGTCCATGGAAGAAAAACTTTTACTGCTCTTGTTTCTGGTTCAGTCATAAAAACTACATTTATTTTAAAAATGTATTTACAAACTTTACAGCAATCATTACATGTAAAAACCCCACAGAAATGTGTACACCTTGCTGTACAGATTGAGTGAATCGTGGCATTTACCCAGAGAGCTGCAGTCCCTTCCCAAAGCTCTCTCCAGAGCCGCTTTAAAGCTGAATTTTTTACTGATTCAGTTGCAAAGGACTGAAAAAAACCCCAAACATTTGCACTGAAACCACCAACCCAGGATCCCAGAACACAACAACTCCTTCCACAACACCCAAACCCTCCTGAACTCCCAACAAACTCATCCCAGGGTTCAGAGTGATGAAACCTCTGCAATAGCACAGTGAGAAAAATGACCCAAATGTAATTTGGGGTGAACTCTGCCTAAAGATACAAACCAGCACCACATGCACCTGAAAAATGGGTTAAGGTGTGAACCTGCTTTGAATAATCCCTGTAGTGCCCAAAATGTCCTAAAGTGCTTTAATTAATGCTCAGAGAGAAGAATCAGGGGAACCTGGTGCTTTGAACAGCCATAAAATCCCATTATTTGTGTATTTTTCCTCCCTGCTGTAGTCTTTGGATAAGCTTACCCTGGTCCACCACAGGATTTGGTCTGCAACAGCAAAAATAAGGTCAAGTTTTTCATTAAAATAAAAATAATCAAAAGAAGGTAGCAGAAGCAGGTCAGCAATGCTTTCACTATATAAAAAAATTAGTTAAATTACAGACTTAAAGTGATTATTTCCATTTACAATGGTAAAAATAAATAAGGAGAGGAAAATCTGAGGCGTTGTCACTGCAAGTGCAGCTCAGTGTGAGCGGGAGCAGGAGCCCCAAAATCCCTGCTGGGGCTCACAGAGCTGCTCCCCCTGCAATCCCTGTCCTTCCCTAATCCAATAATCCAAAACTGCCTGCTCCCCTCTGCCCCTGCCACATTTCTAAAGGAATTCATCCCAGCATGACACATTTTAATTCAAAGCTCCAGAAAACAAGTGTTGAGCACATTTCTCCAAAGGAGAAAAACTGAAATCCTCAAAGAGTTGAAATTTCACAGCAGCTTTGAGCAGCTTGGCTCTGAAATGGGATTAGGTTTTGTCTCCTCTGCAGAGGGGATGTTTTAACTTTGAGATTTTATTCAAAAGCAGGAATTGGGCAGAAATTGCTGCAATTTGTGGTGTGCAGAGATCATCATTGTGGAATGTCCTCTTCCCATTTGAAACCCAACAGCTGAAAACACATTGGAGGCATTTCCTAAAGCACCCAATGAACCTGAAGAGATGATTCTCATTTAAAGAAACAAGGTAGAGACACCTTGAAGTGCCTCTGAAAATGAAACCTCACCCAAGCAAGGAGCAAACACTTCACACAATGAAGGTTCCAGTGGGATTTGTCCTTAGAGTGGGCACTTAACTCCACTCATTTAAAATCACTTTCATGCCCTGTTCTTCCTCACGCACTTAATGCCCAAATGCCTTTAAAAATCTGACTCTTGGATGTTTTTTTCCCCCAAAACTGGCCCAAAGCCCTGAATCATTTGGGCACAGAACAGAAATTCCATCTTGCACCTCTGAGCCCAGTGATGCCAACTTTTACCAGCCAGGTAAGAGAACTGGACACCACACTGGGGACACTGCCAAAAGGAGCAGGAGTGGGACAAGTTTAAAACTCTAAAACATAAATAATGCTGAGAAAGGAAAAAAACAGAACCAAATTTAGAGTCCTTTGTGGCAAATTTGCCAGTGAAATGCCCAAAATGTGCTGGGAAGGGAAAGTTTGTTCTGAGCTCTTTGGTGTGAGCTGCTCCTCTCCTCGCAGCCAGGGGTGCCCACCCCAAACTGGGCACGCACAGGGGGCACGGGAGAACCTGAACTTGTGAGCAGCAAAGCCAGGTGAGGTTTAAGGTGAGAGGAGCAGTGTCAAGGCAGGGCAGAGCTGAAGGTGGCAGCTGCAGAGAGGGAGGGATAATTCACCACCAACATGCCAAAGATTCTGCTCAAAATCCTGATCTGTAGCTGCAGAAAATGCAGCCAGAGCCGAATCTGAGAGCAAACAGCTGATTAAAAATCAGCTGAAAAATTCTTCCCAAGGTCAGACCTCCTCCTGTGAGTGTTTTCTGCATGGAGGTTTCCTTCTCCAGGAAAAAACCTGGATGCAAAAGGTACCTCCATATGTGAAGGTGGTTAAAGCAGAACAAAAAGGCTGCAAAGAGGACTCCAAAGTCACTGAGAACCAAAACACCCAAACCTGACAGCTCAGCCTGTTTGCCCACACCAGGGAAACCATCCTGGGATCCCTGCTCAGCCTGCCCTGCTCCTGCTGACCCACTGCGTTAAACCCAACCTGGCTGAGAGGAGAAAGGCACAGAATGAACACCAGGATGCACCTCAGACAGCCCAGAGCACATCCTGCTGCTCTGCCTGCAGCAGAACCTCAGCCCACACAAAAAGCTGCTTTAGGGGAACTTTCAGAGCATCCAGGGAGGGAGAATGCACAGGAAATGAAGGGCAGGAAAGCCCAGAGGTTTTGCAGTTGAGCAGTGTCTGTGTCAGGAACACGAGGAGGAGCTGACAGGGCACACAGTGCCCCAGGGAGGTTCCAAGAGCTCCCCCGAGGAGCAGCAGCCCGGAGGCAGCTGGAATGTGCAGCAGCAATCAGGCTGGGGATGGATGGGATGTGACTGCAGTGCCACCTCCAGAGCAGCTCAGGCTGGAGCTGATGGCACTCTGGGATGATCTGGGATGAGGGCAATCTGCTTCCAGCCCCTGCACTCACACTCATGTCAAAAGAATTGGGAAGGACAAAAGGAAATGACAACTTCAGTCTGAGCAAAACCCTCCTGGGGGTGGCTTTTGTTGGGTTGGGTTTTGTTGGGTTTGCTTTTCCCTGAAAAAGACTTTGCTGAGGAAACTTTTCATTAGGTTTAACAAACTTTGGTTTTTCAGTAAGGTCAGAAACTTCTTTCAGTCAGGGGAGCACAATAATGGCCCATGAACCCCCAGCCCAACAATAATTGTATTCCTGCTGTGAGCAACACCCTCAGCAGGGTTTCAGTGGCTCCTCCCAACTCCTACAAGATAATCAGAAGCAAAGTGACAGAATGAACAAACAAAATTATTTCCTGGAAGAGAAAGCAAAATCTTCATCAATATTGATGATAAATAAAGAGGCCATGATCTGTTTGTGGAACCAGTAAAGTCCTGGTGTCAGTGCAGTGGTGCCAGTGAAGCTCTGCCATCAGTGCAGTGGTGCCAGTCCAGCCCTGGCCAAAGTGCAGCTTCTGTCATCTCCAACATTCACAGGATGCTTTTCCCACCCCATTAAAAGCACAAATGAGATCTTGTACCAAAGCAAGCAGAGCTGGGCACAGACCCTGAGCCCTGCAGTGGGATCAGCCAGGATTCCCAGGGCACTGGGAGGAGCTGCTGGCATTGCAGCAGTGACCAACCCAGGACAGACAGGCCCAGGAGGGAGAGGAACTGCAGCAGGGAGAGCTCAGGATCAGTGTGTGAGGGACAGGGCAGGATCAGTGTGTGAGGGAGAGCTCAGGATCAGTGTGTGAGGGAGAGCTCAGGATCAGTGTGTGAGGGACAGGGCAGGATCAGTGTGTGAGGGACAGGGCAGGATCAGTGTGTCAGGGAGAGCTCAGGATCAGTGTGTGAGGGACAGGGCAGGATCAGTGTGTGAGGGACAGCTCAGGATCAGTGTGAGCAGTGCACAGGCAAACACAGCGAGGGAGCCCAGCCCCAGCCACGTTTCCTCTGTGGGATTTGCCAGGAAAGCTCCAGGGCAGGGTGGAAGGAGGGCAGGGGAGATGCCAGGGCAGGGAGATGCCAGGCTGGCAGGAGATGAAGCACCACTGCAGGCTGGCACTGCTGGCACCCCCCAGGCTCAGGGCAGCCCCTGCTCCGAGGACACCACGCTGGATTTCCTGGTTTTGGGGGGTGGAGGGGGAGGTTTGGCCTCTCGCCTGCTGGGCAGCGCTGGAGCAACCTGGGGAGATGGAAACACAACCATAAATCACTGCAAGGAGTGCCAGGCACTCTGCTTCACCAAACGAGAAACCCAAAGTCCTGATGGCTTCTTCAGGCGCAAAGCCTGGAGTTCAGCCTCAGCTCCATGTGAGAGGGCCAAGCAAGGACAGATCCCCTGGAGACACCAGAAGCTGAAATGTTTTCGTTGCTAGAGCAGGCCCAGGACAGACTCTAATTGCTCCTGACCTGCAGGCCAACTTCAGCATTCATCCCTGCTTTTGGTGAAATGTAAAATGCCAACAAACCCATTTCACTTCCCTTTCAAAATTCAAGTTTTTTCTCCTGCTGGCTGGTTGAGCTGCCCCAAAAGGATGTAAAATATGTTCAAATGAGAATGGCAAAACTTTACACCCTAAAATGGAAGCAAGGGCAGCTCTAATTAAACAAGCCACATCCTGCCTGCCTGCAGAGGGGCTTGGAGGGCATTTCTTGCTCTTGCAGGAACTGCACTGAGGGAGGGGGGGTTTCACATTGTCTCTGCCTGTAAATAAATGAGATGGGAAAGGCCAGGAGAGGGAGGAGGTTGTGTGGTTCATCACTCCTCAGCCAAACCCCAGCATTTCAGGATTGTTTTATCCAAAGGAAGACAGACCCAACTTTACAGCACCAAACTAACAAAACCCTTCAGAAAACCCTCCCCAGTCTCCCTTTCCAGCCCTGAGAATCCTTCCCCTCTGGCTGCCAGCCAGGGGATGCTGCAGGCCAGGACACAGCAGTAATTAGTTTCCTTACAAGACCCAGAGGAAGGAGGCTCTTTTATTAATCCTCTTGATCCAGTGACTCCCACAGCATCCCTGCAGCTGGGAACTCTCTGCTGGGCACAGCAGCCTCAGTCACTTCCAGCCAAATCAAGGGCAAAGAAGCAAAACTTCCCCCTGATGCCATGTTTCAAGGCTTTATTCCAGTGTCACAACACTGAATTAGGTGATGAGCTGTTGTCTTGTCTTCCTGTGCTGCTAAAGCAGTCAAGTGTGATCCCTCTCTAAATTCCTTTTGGACAAATCCCAGTTTATCTCACTCAGGTACCCCCAAATCCTCTCTGCAAACTGGACTGGGGGAGACACCCCTCCTTTTCAGCTGCAAAAGGGAATTCCTGACAGGTTTGGGGAAGGCCCCATCCCTGTCTCAGTCACAACAGGATCCCTTCTCTGCTTCCCACTGCTAAGGAATCAGTCTGACACCACCAGCACCTTCATTCCAGGGGCAGGTGAAACGATTCTGACACAAGATTTGCATGTCAGGGATTCCAAAGAGCCTGGAGACACCCAGGTGTGAGAAACATCAGTGATGCAGCACTGACAGAGGGGCAGTTTGATATTCACTGATACAGGACAGTTTGATATCAGGGGCAGTTTGATATTCACTGACAGAGGGCAGTTTGATATTCACTGACACAGGGGCAGTTTGATATTCACTGAAAAAGGGGCAGTTTGATATCAGGGGCAGTTTGATATTCACTGACACAGGGCAGTTTGATATTCACTGACACAGGGGCAGTTTGATATCAGGGGCAGTTTGATATTCACTGACAGGGGCAGTTTGATATTCCTACAAGAAAATCACTCCATGGAATTGAGACAAAGGGCAGGATTTAAAAACAGGCTTTTAAAAGTCACTGATGGCTTGAAAAATCAGATTCTGCTGAGCTGAGGCTTAGAAGGAAAGACCTAGAAACTAGACACTAGAAACCTCTGAAAATTGTGAAATTGTGATTTTACCCCCCACACTTCTTTTTCAGCCCAAATTATTGCAGTATTTTAGGCTGATCATGTTTTTGAAACTTTTGCTGCTGGTGTGTTTTCCATGCCTCTTCCCACCCCCACACACTTTTTTCCTGACCAAGGACAACACAACTCCCACTTGGAGAAAGAAATAATAAAGGCACTGCACTCCACTGCCTTCTCCTGAACCAAAACCCCTTTTTTCCTTCTTTTGTGGTTTCAGGGAGTGAAGCAGTGAAATGCTGGGACAGGTTTCAAGCAGCACCACCCTAAGATCAGCCTGGAACATTGCACTGGTGCCTCCTGCTCCCAGCTGCTCTCCAGGAGCTGGCAGCCCCCATTTCCTCACCTCCACAGAGTTCCTGGGGGTGCTGCTCTCGTAGGGTTTGCTTTTGGGGGGAGGGGGGGGTGGCGTGGCCAATCCATCAGCCTGCAACGAGGGGGAGCCTGGCAACAAGGGAAGAAATAACAAAAAATAAGGAAAAATTAAGAACGAACAAGAAAAATAAAAAAAGAACAAATAAGAAAGGTGGAAAAGGAAAGGGCAATGGGGCTGCACACAGATTTTAAGGGAGATTTATTCAATGCCTTCTGTGAGCAGCTCCTGAGCTGCCTGGCTGTGCTGGGTGCAGCTGAGCTCCCTCCAGCTCCCAAAGCCCTGAGGAGTTTCCCCTTCCCCAGAGCTGCCCCAGGGAGCAGCAAATTCCTTTCATCAGCACATCTGGGCTGTTCCTGGGGCTGCCCTCAGAACTCACTGTGATTGAGCTCCAGCTGATGGAGGAGACAAAACCCAAACTCCAGAAGATTCCAGCAATTAAAGCCTTGCTAAGGAGAGGAGAGGTTTTACATTCCTTTCACAGATCTTTCTTCCCTGAGTTCCTGGATTTGTTTCTGGTTGTCTCCACAACTCATCCCCTGCCCTGGTGAGGATTATTTTGTTTTCATCCTCTCATGACAATTTTATGCTGGCTTGGATCATTTTCTGCACTGGATTCTGACTGGGCACCCACACAGAGCCTGCCAGGTCCTGCCCAGGAACTTCTGTTCCTCTCAAAAAGAGCAGCAGCCAGAAATGCAGCAGCCAGGCAGTTCTAGGGGTGGAACTGCCCAGGGATTTTTATTTTTACCTTAAGCCACATTTAAATGTGCTGCAGAATCAACTACAGAACTTCCTGGATACACAAGAAAGGGCTTTTTTTCCCCCTCTTCTTTTCCAGGATCAGATTACTGTGCTGTTTTACATTCAGCATGTTTTTGAAACCTTTGAAATGATTCATTTTGTTAATTCTTGAAGATAAATCCCACCTCCTTCAGGTGGAACACTTACAGCTGAATGTCCAAGCTGCACAGCAAGCTCTGCTAGAACTCTGCCATGTGAGGGGAGTTTTGTCCATTAATGAACAGAACCCTCAGGGCTTGCATTGATCATTCAGGCCCAGAGCTGATCACAAACACCCTGGGATCCCTGCAGGCCCTCCTGGGATCCACTGGAGATGCTCCTGCACACCTGGCTGGGGATTTACAGCCATCTGCACTGACTGCACTGCTGTTTGCTTCAGGGTTCATAAACCTGCCCAAAATTCAGAGTCATGGGACAGGTGGGGTTGGAAGGACCTGAAATCCCACCCAGTGCCACCCTGCCCTGGCAGGGACACCTCCCACTGTCCCAGGGGGCTCCAGGGATCCAGGGGCAGCCACAGCTCCCTGGGAATTCATCCCAGCCCCTCCCCACCCTCCCAGGGAGGAATTTCCCCCCCAGATCCCATCTAACCCTGCCCTCTGGCAGTTTAAACTGCTCCCCTGTCCCATCACTCCACCCCCCTGTGTCCCATCACTCCCCATCCTTCTTGTCCGGGTCAATACAGGAGAAAACAAGAAAGGAACTGAGAAACCCAGAAACTGTTCCCTGGAATTCCTGTTTTGCCGTGCTTCAACAAGTGCAAGCCACAGATCTGCTCTTTGATACCACAGCCAAATTCTGTTCTCTGACAAAAATGATAACCCCTGTTCTCCTGGGAAACTGAGGCAGGGACACCTGCAATGCACTGGGGACAATAACTGCACTCCAGAGGCTGAACTGGGGCTCAGCCCCCACTGTTTGTGCTGCAAACCCCTGTCTGAAAAATGGAACAACACCACCACTGACCTCCAGGAACACTTTTCATGTACTTCCAGGCTTGATTTTTGAGATTTCCAACAGCCCCGAGCTGTGACGTGACTCGGAGCAGCTCCTCCCTCCCTCCCTCCCTTCCCAGCTGCCCCCCAGC